TGATCTATACTTTCTTGGTGCTACAATGTGTTCTCAATTACCCTACAATAAACACACAGACAACTGTTCCATCCCCATACCTAAAAAAAAAAAAAAAAATTTCCATGGGTATGAAACAACACAGAAATCAACCATTTTCCCTTTAGCCAAAAATAGATATAGCGCTCAACTAACTCTCAAGGAAAATGAAGGGCAAGAGGAAGATGAACCTCTTTACCCCGGCACTTATTTTTGCCTATTTAATTAGACACGTCTATGATGTCCATTGCTACAACATCTGTAGCAGCTCTAATACCATTACATTAATGAGCCTTTGCATATAGTTATGTGCCTACATGATCAACGACAAACCTGCTGCCCTCCCATGGTTTGGAAGACTGTAAAATACCACTACTGACCTGACAAAGTGAATCAAGGCAAGTTTGTGTTTCTAGTCACACCCTAGATAACGAATTACACTTATCTCTTCCATATCTGCCATCTCAGTCACTGGGAAGGAGTCACTAGTCGTCCGGTCCGCCGCTTGTTCAGGGAAAGCCCCTGGCGGCCCGGGCCGGTTTGTTTACCTGCCGCGTCCGCAGGTTCGGCCGATTGCAGCTCCCACTGGCCACGGTTTGCCGCTCCAGGCCAATGGGGGCTGTGGGAAGCGGCGCAGGCCGAGGGATGTGGAAAGTCCCCACTGTTCTCTGCAACTTCATGCCTTTAAACTGCTGCAGGATCTAACTTAGACAAGGTTAAAAATTCAACACTACAAAAATCTCGTATCCTCTCTGTTTCCCCCAGTGACTCCTGACAAGATATTTGCTAGTCACACTTAGTGCTAACAGTACAGACTCCATGATGCACATGAGGGAGGGATAGGCACACAAGGATGAGGCTGCGCTTGCCCTCACAGCAATGGAGAGAAGATACAGCTGGGCACATTGGGTCCTGGTTTCAGAGTCCCTTTCTGCTGGAAGGCACTTTCTGGCCAGGGACCAGGCTGATGTCCCAGATGTGAAGCCCAGCATAGCTTGGTTTGGGCCTTGGTTTTCTCCTCAGACTGTCACTGGCCTTATGCGGAGTCTTCTTGTGTCGTGAACAGTAGGACAACTTTTTTGTGTCACATTCACCTTCCTTCAGTGAAATCACTGCACATTTCTCCTCTTCACATGGGATCGGGATGGAAGAGCCTTTCACTATCTTTGGGCAGACAGCATCAATAGGTTAGGTCCATGGGACTATGCATTCATGTCCCAGTCTCACCCTCATTTATTTCATCTTTGGGTGCAGAAATGTGAGAAAGAGCTTACTCTCTCACTGTCTGTACATCACACTTGCCAATGGCAGACCCAGAAATGCTCACAACGTGCAGCGGCCTCTCTATGTCCAGGGGTCACTAACAGTAGGGGCTAACTGGGAAAGTCAGAGCAATGTAATAATAATACTGAGCATTCATATCCTGGTGCCAGGCACATACCAGAGGCTACTGCATGTGATCTGATACAGGACAATAAAAGTTGCTTCTGTGGAATGCTATTGTGTCTGTTCCCAAACCTCAACAGGTGAAAAGGGTATTTACAGGGATGAGGAAATGTACACTTAGAAGGGGGGAGAATATTAAAAATCGTAACTTTTCTAAACTAAACATTCACCTGAAAATCCCCTTGTTTCCTTGTGTGGCCCCTCTGCTCAACAGCTGGTGACCATGGAAGGATGTGGGATTTTACTGCTGCCTGTGGTGAACTGCACTTTTAGCAGGAAAAAAAAAAAAATCAAACAAGCAGCTGGCTGGCTTGCAGTTTGCTTCTCTTTCAAGCCTTGCATTGCCCTTTGTTCTGTATAAAACAGTAATCTTGGAAAACAGAGTGAGGCTTGGGGACTGCCCAAATGGTTCGATAAATACTAGCTTGAGGCAAACACTTCTCTGCGTGGCGCTTTAAAAAAAATATTTAATTAATTCATTTACTTACATTATTTCATTACACTGATGTAGACGTTACAACCTGCTGCTGAATTCAGCCTGGCTCATGCTGGAGAAAGGGTGGTGTCTTACTGTGTAGATAGGTGTAGTGCACTTTGGAATATATATGGCCTCACTACTCAGAGAATGAGAGAGATCAAGGGGCAATAAGATGGCTCTTGGAGTACCATAGCATGCCATCTTATAAATGGATTGAAACTGATCTGACAGTCCGAAAGGACTATAGCTAATTTTAGTTTATGGTAGTCTGCAGAATCAAACTACTTAACTTTAAAACTGAATTTCAAGAGTTTGTTTGTTGCTGTCTGTACTAACACAACAGTATATAAATTTCATTGGTGGGGGTCTTGTTTTAAAAAGAAAGACTAAAACTGCAGCATAAGAATATTTGACAAGGATTGGCACTTACTTTAGACTATTAGCAGTAGCATGAATTCTTTGTATTATCAGAGCACCAAGGAACCCCAATCATGGACCAGGACCTGCCCCAAAGAGCTTATAATCTAAGTATGTGACAAGAGACAGCAGATGGATACAGACAGATGGGAATACAAGAAAACAATTAGACTAGTGTTATACAAACTCTAGTTAAGATCCCAGAAACACCCTAAAAGTTTGGTACTTTCTGTGATGCACATAAATGGCAAGATGTGTGTGATAGTATATGTCTAATGTGTACATACAATTCCCAGTACTGAACATAAAAATCAGGCTGCTGAATGTGTTTATGGCTGGAGAGATATTTAATTGGCCCTTTGAAGGCTGAAGTACTGGCTCTATATATGCAATTGTGGTAACTCTACTCAGAAACCAGGTTCACAACGTCTAGACCAGGGGTTCTCAAACTGGGGGTCGGGACCCCTCAGGGGGTCGCAAAGTTATTACATGGGGGGTCGTGAGCTGTCAGCCTCCACCCCAAACCCTGCTTCACTGCCAGCATTTATAATGGTGTTAAATATGTGAAAAGGTGTTTTTAATATATAAGGGGGGTCGCCCTCAGAGGCTTGCTTTGTGAAAGGGGTCACCGGTACAGAAGTCTGAGAACCTCTGGTCTAGACAAACTTGCTCCCATGCACTGCTCTTGTCTGCACCAGGTTGTAATGGCTCTAGACCCGGCCCCTTTAGCACCTTCCCATGCCCAGCATGGCCCCTACACCACAGGCTGAGGCAGGAGGGGCTGGCATAGGGACAACCATTCAGATTTTATATCAGCTGAAAATTTCCTTGTATTTGGGGAATCCTCAGCTGTCCATTTAGGGCAGATTTAAATCCCTTTATGCTGATCTAGTAGCTCAAAGGGACTTTTTCAGGGAGAGGATTTGACCCCAAATGTGTTCAGTTTTGAATGTTTTTTTCTCCATGCAAAGGCAGGTTCAACGAAAAAGCAGCACAAGTTTAAAAATGCATGAATATATTAAGAGTTGACTTTTCAAAAGTGCTCAGCATTGATCTAACCTTGCTCCTGTCTGAACAGAGCTAAGCGCTTTTGAAGATCCACCCCTAAGAGTTAAGTGAGTCTCTGGGATAATTGCTTCTTAAAAGGGAATGCTCTGTATTAAGTGCTATATGCAATGGGAACGTGTATGCTTTTTTTTTTTTTATTAAGCAAAGCACAAAGTTTTAGAGCTATGTGGATCTCAGCAGTCTGCACAGGTTCCTGTCAACATTCTCTTGGTTTTGATCCATATGGATTTCCACAGCTGAATTTTGCTTTGAGTTTATATGATTTGAATAAAGCAAATCTTTGCCAAAACCACATGACTCCAAAACCCCATGGAACCCTGAATTTGGCACTTTTTTGATATGGAAGTTGTAAATTGTGCCCAGGTTCACTTGAAACTGGGCCACAGGCCTTTCAGTTATGAAACATAGCAAAACTTCCAGCAAGCAAGGTCAGAAGTTTGAGTTCCTAAGGAAGTGAAAACCATGTAAGTTTTGCCTTGTTTGGAGTTTTGTTGTGAACATTTTGCACAGCTCTAGTATTTTTCTTTAGCCTGAGTATTCCTCAGATATACACATACTGCTCGGCTAGACAAAAGGAACAGGCCTACGCATTCTTTAAGTAATTCTGGTTTTCTACTTTACAAGTTTCAGTGAAAATGGGATTTAGCTCCATCTTGCTAGTTCTAACACAGCCTATGCCAGGGGTTCTCAGACTTTTGTACTGGTGACCCCTTTCACAAAGCAAGTCTCTGAGGGCGACCCCCCTTATATATTAAACACACCTTTTTATATATTTAACACCATTATAAATGCTGGAGGTAAAGCAGGGTTTGGGGTGGAGGCTGACAGCTCACAACCCCCCATGTAATAACTTTGCGACCCCCTGAGGGGTCCCGACCCCCAGTTTGAGAACCCCTGGCCTATGCCCTAGTAATGAAGGTCACATCTACGATTGGTGGTACTCAGTCTTGATGGCTTTACATGCCACAATTACAAGGTAAAGCTATGCATGTTTTAATTCAAAAGTAGAAAACCACAAAGTATGTTGTAAATCAAATACTAGCTAAGAGCAGCAAATGTCTTGTTAAAAAACCACATGTGATTCTGAGCTGCCAAGCATTAAATCTTTTGAATATGGTTCTTCTTAACAGACCACATGAAACTTTTAGAAAAGAGAAAAGTGTGAAAAATTATTTCAGGTTTCAAAATAGACACAGGCATAAAGAAAACACATATTTGTGAAGAAGCTAAAAAGATCAGAGAGTAAGGAAGGAAAACAACACAAAATCCATACCTGGGCAAGCCAGAGATGTAAGGTACAGCTAAGTTAAGGGGGGAGGGGACAGTGTCTACAAGCCAAACCTGAAGTCAAGTAAGTGGGGAGCAGATTCTAATAACACACATAAATTAATAAGCTCACCAGCATCATCGCACTGCCAGCAAGACAACAGCAGCCTAATCTCATTGAATTGAATTGCCGTTATTCATAGATAAAAAAGGCTAAACTGACCTAGGCTTTAATTGGGATTTTGAACTTCAGCTGAGCTCAGAAGGGGACCATAATACAAGGAAGCACATATCCGATATATCTGACCTGTCATAGAGTTTTCAGATGTACACAGTTGCTCTCTCAGCTTTTCCACATCATCTGGATGAACCTGCTCATAGAGCGTGCTGCCAAACCACTCTGACTGTGGCTGGTTCAGCACTGGCGTAACGGAATCCGATACGTAGATGACTCTCCCCGTCTCAGCTGCAACTACAAACAGGAACCCATCTGCAGCCTCAAGGATAAGATGTTTCAGTTCCTTGCAAAGACAGGATTTAATTAGAAGGCCAGCAAGAAGAGAGAATTAAAGAATACATCTGTCACCCTCAACTCACAACACTTGTTTGTGATTTGAATGGCTGGTCAAATAATAAGTGACCCACACTTTCAACGTGGTACTGATATAACAATGCATTCAATTTTGTAATGAAACGAAAATTGTTAATCTTAGTAACTACAACAACATCTTTTATCTGATGAGCTCAATGCAGTTTAAAAAAATTAACTAACTAAGCCTCATAACTCCCCTCTGAAGTGGGTATCATAAAGAAAGGCACAGACAGGGAAAATGATAATACAGCAATTCCATCCTTATTGAAATGTTCTGTTGATGTAATCTCTGTTAAATTCTATAGGATTCTTTTGAAGTGTAATATGATCTTTTAGATATTATTCAAAATCTGTAAAATCTCATAAGGAAGGATATATTTTTAATAGTTTTTTTTAAAATTTGCCAATAGAAATCTATAGCAGACATAATAAAAAAATTACTTAAAGATTATTAATCTCTATCAAATTCTGTAGAACTTTTCCACATAGGAGAAGAGGGTCACTACTGACCTTTTCCATTCCCTGAATTATTTGAATGCTACGAGCCAGTTTTCAAACAGCCTCTTTTTATGCACAGAACTCAGTGTTCCTGTTAAAGAGCACCTACCTTTTTTGTGTGCATAATGTTCACTGTTGAATGCACAACCTGGGCAGTTAGTCACCCAACAGCTTGACCGGTGCGCGCAATATGTTCTTTACACGTATTAAAAAAAAAAAAATGTATAGCAACTTTGGTGGAAGCAATCAGTCGTGCAAAAATGGTTGATGAGGAGTGAAAGACATGGTCCTATCTTTTATTTCTGTTTACTCAGACTCCCTTCTTAACACCCACCCAAATCTGTTGCAACTGAAACTTGTATAGCAACAAACAAGATTTCTCAAGCCTGTCCTTTTCATTGTCCACTTTATTGTTCTGATTAAATATTTTAGTCTCTTAAATAAGGGTCTCTGAGTGCTGCTGCTTCAGACTTTTGCGACTGTTACTTATGGTGGAGACAGGGTGCCTAAACAATGCACGTCTGTGCTAGACCCTACTGCCCACCCTCTGTACGTCTCACATTTAATCTCACACATTGACCTACAATGGAGCTTAGATAGCAAGACAGAGTTTATGGAAATTCCAAGCTCCATTGTGGGTTGGAGTGCACAAAATTGGACAGAAGGTGGATGGTATTGGGTGATAAGGAAGAGATCTTAGTCTGGTAAACTGATACCATTGTCTTAAAGAGCTGTCACAGCTATCAGAAATACTGCTAATAAATTACATGCTTCTGCTGAAATGTATCTTATTTTTCACCACAGTGTCAGTATATCAATTTCTGAAACACCAACTAAAAACAAGATGATTTTGTTAAAGTGGCCCAGCTCCCTCTATATTAACTGCAACTTCTAGAGGATTTATGACCCCATTTTAAATCCATTATTAACACAGTTGGAAATAGAAAAAATGTGTGCGCCATTCTGTAAGCCTCAAAAAAAAAAAAAAAAAAAAAAAAAAAAAAGATACAATGAAAAGTGACTAGTCTGCCCTAAAGAAGAGTAACAGGGTGGGTGATGTGATATATTTTATTGGACCAACTTCCATTGGTGAGAGACAGGCTTTCAAGCTTACACAGAGGTAAGAAGACAAGTCAAGTGACAATATTTGCGGTCCCCCAGAAGCAAATTTAGAGAGACCCAAGATAAAAGTGTTACGTTTCACTCCATATTCTTTAAGAAAATGTGCTTACAATATGAATATGACATACCTGAGATGTACTTCATGCAAGGTGGGTCTTGTAAGGTATCATTGGAAACAGGGCTGGCTTTAGGCACCGCGGGGCCCGATTCGAAGGCACTGCCGCCGAAGTCCCGCTGCTGTCTTCGGCGGCAGCTCAATTGCTGCCGCGGAGGAAGGACCCTCCACCGAAATGCCGCCAAAGACAGCGGCAACGATTGAGCTGCTGACAATGACCGTGCCGGGACTTCGGCGGCAGCTCAATTGGCTGCCGGTGCCTTCGGTGGCACTTCGGCGGAGGGACCTTCCTCCATGGCAGCGATTGAGCTGCTGCCGAAGACAGTGGCGGGACTTCGGTGGCAGCTCCTTCGGGACGTTGCGGGGCCCTCTTAGGGGCGCGGGGCCCGATTCCGGGGAATCGGATGAATCGCCCTAAAGCCGGCCCTGATTGGAAAGGTTATAGTTTACTGAATGTGATTATCCAATGTGTATGCCTGTATCATTTCTGTATCTGAAGTTAGGAATATTGACTATTTCAACTATGCTACTTTGGGTGACGCCCACTGTTAATACTTCAGTACAACAATGGAAAAGCCAGACCGGGTGGACAATGGACTGTGAAAAGGCTTGGCTTTCCTGCAAGGCTCCATATTGCCACTGACTCATGGATATTGTGATACTACAGAGTCTTGTAGGTGGTCTTGTTACCTGATACTAAACATTACCTGGAACTTCTTGTAACTTTCCACTGGAAGGGAAGGGGGGTCAAGTTTGGGAAACAAAGGATTCCTGCCTTATGAAAATCCTATTTAAGGGTGGTGAGGAAAGCAAACAGGACTCCTTCTCTCCATGGCCTGTCTGCCCAAGAAGAAAGACTGCTAAAACCACCTGAAGGGAAGGCAAGGGGGGGAGTCCAGACTGAGACAGGAATCCAGTCTGAAAAGAAATATAACGAACTCTGAACCACAGAAACTTTGCAACGTGCCAAAAATAATATTTAGGGTGAGAATTTACATTTTGTAACCTGTTTCTTAAATATATTGAGCTTAGCTTGCGTATTTTGCTTTATTTGGTCAGTAATCTGCTTTGTTCTGTCTGTTACCTCTTATAGTCACTTAAAATTCACCTTTTGTAGTTAATAAACTTATTGTTTGTTTATAATATAACCCAGTTTATGTAATTTCTAACGGGGGAGGGAGGACGGCAAGAAGTTGTGCATATCTCCCTCCACATTGAGGGAGGGGGGCAAATGTCATAAAACCTTTGCGTTTGTACCCCTTAAAGAGAGCGGGCACCAGAGTGTTGGGGCAAGCCCCTAAGGCTGAATCTTTCCAGAGCCGGTCTCTGTCTCTCTGTGCAGCTGGGTGTAGCCCTGCCTGTGTGCTTGGCTGGAAGAGGCTTGTGAGCCTAACCCAGCAAGGCCAGGTAAAGGGGACCCAGGCTGGCAGAATAGGCTGACTCAGTGGCACCCCAGCACATCAGGTGACACCCCAAAGGGGCCAAACCTATCACAAAAAGTACATAGAGATATGAGCATTGAAAGCTCAGCAGCTGCTGGTATTTGTCTAACAGAAATATGTATTGCTTCAAGCCATTCTTTACATATGTAAGAACTTTACAGTTAAGAGCAAAACTGTGTAAGTTACAGCCCTCTGGGTTCAAAAGTACTAGCAGGCATGAGGACTTTCCAGTGGATAAGGCTGAACCTGAGCTCCCTTGAAATACCAGTTACATCATCTTCCCTATAGCCAGAAGGAAACTAGAGAGGAGTTTTGTAAGTTCAGATCCAAGCTCTCCAGTTCTGAGTTTTTACAGATGGGGGCAAGCCATATAGTTCAGATCCAAATCTGAATTTTCTCCAAATCTGTCTGTGCTCACACCTGGGATTGTGTGCCTCTCACTAAATGAAGCAAGGAAAAAATGTGAAGAACCTACTGACCTTTCTATCACACCTCTCAAAATAACAGGATTATTCAGCCCGGAAGAAATAACATTTATGAAGCAACTACCTGTTCCGTTAGGAAAGAAGGCTTATATGCCCCATCAGTAGATTTATTTCCGGTGCCCCTCATAGACTTCATGTGCGAAACAGCCATACGCAGAATTGTCAGCTTGTCAGGTTTACGGGCCAATGCACTACAGGTGGGCACCATGTCCGACAGCTCAGTGATATACTGTGTCATCTTATTTCTCCTGCGTCTTTCAATTTCACTATGATTCTCCCTAAACATTTAAAGAAAAATCAAGCCAACAGACAAAGCAAGACAAGATCAGTATAGGAATTTCCATTTGGTATTATAAATAATAATAATACTTTGCACTTGTGTAGCATCTTTCATCCAAGGAGATCAAAGCGCTTTACAAAGGTAAGCATTATTATCCCCCATTTTACAGGTGGGGAAACTGAGGCACGTGACAGTTAAATATGACTTGCCCAAGGTCACACAGTAAGTCAGTGGCAGAGCGGAGAAAAGAATCCAGATTTCTGAACTGCCAGTTCCTGGCTCTAACCCCCTAGCAATTATACCTCACTTGGTTTAGAGCAGCAGACAGAAAAAGGAATGTGAGGTGCTGAGGGCTGTCAACTCCGGGGGAAGTCCCACCTTTCAAGAGATGCTCTGTGCCTCCTAGCGTAAGGGCCTTAGTGAGGTGTTGCTTGTATTAATATAGAACCTGATCCAGCTTCTGATTAAATCAGTGGGAGCCCCTCCATGGACTTCAGGTCCACAGTAAGCAACAGCTCTGACTAAAATTTTGTAATTGTGATATAGACCCAATCCTGTAATTCTATGCAGCAGACCTCGACCTCTATGCTCCCCCCCCCACCCCACCCCAAGACTTCAGGGATCAGATTGCAAGATTGGGACCATATTTTGTATAACAAGTAAATACCTTTAATATTTGTTTTAGATATTGTAAAGTAGGTCCTGACTTGCCAGACACTGAACAGGTAAGAGAACAACTAAGAGAACAACTAACTATAGTAATAAAATAACTATGACAATATTCAGCACTAATATAGTGCTTTTTATCTTCAATGAGACTTACACAGATACCTAGAGCATCTTCACAATAACCCGGTTTCACAGAGTTTAAATAACTTGACTATAGCTACAAAGGAAGTCTGAGGAAGCCAAAGAAAGCTAGAGCTGGGATTAGGAGGAGGTATTGGTATTCAGGAGTTCCCGAATACCAATACTGTGCTCAAAAAATATTCAAAAGAAAACATTATCAGAAGCTTTGGTTTTACTTTGTCTTCCATGAGTGACAACATTTATAATTATAAAGGCCACATCTTAAAGTCTTTACACAGTCAAAACTATTATTAAAGTCCATGGGAATTTTACCTGATAAATAATAGAGTTAAAAATTGTGTAAAGACTTGAGGATTTAGGGTGTGATTTTCTAAGAGGTCTAGCAGAGTTAGATGTATAATTTCCATTCTTTGAAAACCCCAGCCTTAGCGTACAGACATTAATTTTCATGGCAAAACACTGCTCTCAGTCCACCTATCAAATTAATATCAAATTATGAAAAACAGTATCCAGTAAACTAAGGGGTTTTTTTTCCTCCTCTTCACACTTCCCAATACCCTACAACAAGGAGGATCACTGACTCATTTAAATTTTATTTCCAAAATTCTCAGCACATAACAATAAATATATTACTGAGTTGGCCAGTTGCATTTCAGGGTTTTTTGATTATCAGCTGTCAATATTGTATATAAATTAGGATGTGCGGGCCAGATCCTCAGCTAGTGTAAATCAAAGTCAATGGAGTTGAACCAATTTACATCAGCTGAAGAACTGACCTACTGAACCTAGAAAACTACACTGCATCATAGAGGTGCATTTCTTTATTTTTCGACATGGCACCAGCATACTGTACCTGTAAAGCGGTAACTACCTACAAGCATGCCCAGGACATGCCACTTCTGATGTCAAAGCAGCTTCTTCCACTGATTTCAAGGAGCTGTATGGAGTTTTTTGGTGGGATTACTGATTGATCCAACAAGATGTGAAATTGCAGATTACCACATGGAGAATCCAGTAACGTTGATAGGTACAACATGCAGTATTGGAAGAGATTAATTTATTCTGATTTAGCATAACTCAGGGCTGAATAATTAGGGAGTGACTCGTGGAAGCGGACTAAGCAAAGTACAGAATACTTTTCAGCCACCTTTCACAACTAAGCTTTTTTTAAAATTTAGGGTCGGTATCCCAGTTGCAATATGTTTCCCTTTGAAATACTCTAGTAAATAAGCAAGATCGTAGAACAGCTGGAGTGCATTGGCTTGTGTTGCTTAGGAAGATGCATCATATGTGCAGGGTATCATATGTAGCTATTACATGTTGGAGTCACTGTAACAGAATCAATACATTTTAGAGTTCTGTTTCCACATTCACAATTCCCACTGATATCAATAAGGACCTTGTGAATAAGCCTACGTTTCAGTCACGGGTATTCTTAGTAAAAGTCATGGACAGATCACGGGCAGTAAACAAAAATTCATGACCCGTGACCTGTCCATGACTTGTACTGTATACCCCTAACTAAAATGTGGGCCGGCGGGCCGCGGGTTCTTTGGTGGGGGGGCGGGTGGCCCTGGACCCCCGCTGGTGCTGGGGGTGGAGGCGGGCGGCAGCAAGCGACCCAGGACCCCGCTGCTGTTAGGGGGTGGGAGGAACAGGTTGGCGGGGCTCCCTACCCAGCTCCGCATGTCCCTGCAGCTCCTAGAGGGAGGGGTGGCTTGGGGGGCTCTGTGCGCTGCTCCTGCCACAAGCGCAGGCTCCACAGCTCTCATTGGCCGGGAACCGCAGCCAATGGGAGCTTTGGGGGATGCAAGTGTGGGCGCTGGCAGCGCACAGAGCTCTCTGGGCACTCCGCCTAGGAGCTGCAGGGACATGCTGGTGGGAGCTGGAGGACCCTCACCACCACCACCCAGGTAAGCGCCGCCCTGCACCTCCTTCCCCAGCCCCCTCCCAAACACCCAAACTGCAGCTGCTGGCCTGAGCTACTGGCCACTGCAGAAGTCACGGAAAGTCACGGAATCTGTGAGTTCCGTGACAAACACGCAGCCTTACTTAGGAGTAAAGCATCAACTAGTATACAATTCAAACAAGTGTATTGCAATGTCAGCCCTTAATGGTTCAATAAATTACAACCTCTCTCTTTTGTTAAGGTTACCGTATACTTTGTTTATCACATTCTTCCTAACAAAGGACCTGTTTCAGATTCTCAACTGTCTGTGAGTGAGATGGTGTAGCCGTGTCGATCCCAGGATACTAGAGAGAGATTAGATATGAGAGCTCTGTGTAAGCTCGAAAGCTTGTCTCTCTGACCAACAGAAGTTGGTCCAATAAAAGATATTACCTCACCCACCTTGTCTTTCTAATATCCTGGGATCGACATTGTTTTTAACTATGCAGTGTGGTTCTAGCAATCAATCACATACAGAGTAACCAACGGACAACAGGACCCACTGCATGGAAACAGTGACAAAAATCCAACATTCCATGGTATTTATTATTTTAAAACTTTAAAACTATTACATTAATCCATAGGTCAGTAAAGGGCCTGACCAAACAAATAAATCTGACATTGACCTGAAAAGTTGAGCTTAGTAGATAGCAAGAGGGAACACAGACCCTTTTATAAAAGGATCTGATCCTGGAAATTTACATTCATGGGCAGGTTTAGAAGATGGAGTCCTGGATTTATAATTCCTAACTGGTTTTTAAAGAATGTTTTTGAGAGTATTGAATCTGGCCCTAAGGGGCTGATCCAAAGTCCCCAAAGTCAATAGTAGGTGGGAAGTCTCCTATTGACTTTAATGGGCTTTGGATCAGGCTCTAGATAAGTGAACCTTACTGATTTGTGATCAATCGGAATGTTATCGTGTAAAATAAAAGGGGCAAAACGTATGTGATTTTCCTTGTTCCTACCTGGCCATCCCCTCTGCATCAGCAGTACTTTGATCATCTTCCCACCTAGAAACAAAATAACCAGCTCTCTAAGCTAAGGCGCACAGACAGAGAAATTTTGGATACGACTATTCCCCTTCTTTTCTCTCAGCAGAGGATCTCTACAGAACACGCCTACCTTGCAAATTTTTCATTATCACCAGAGATTTGATCATCATCATACCTGTAAACAAAATATGGTAAGTAAATTTAAAAGGCTAATGGAAAACTAGAAAGTCAATACAAAGTAGATGGCGAAGACAACACTTGCAATTGGAAACTACTATACATTACACCAAGAGAAGCATGATATTATGGGAATGATGGAACGGAAAGGAAAAGGGGACTCTGGTGAAACTTTTTGAATGACCAGGAACCAGCTGTTAAAAAAACTCTCTCTTTTTGTGTGTTAATATGAAAAAGGTCAAAATATGACCCACTAGTTTCACTTAAAATATTAGAGCTTTTTTGTTTATTGCTTGAGAAAGTTGTACAAAGCACCATTAGTCTGTTACTAATAGTAACCCATGAAATATTCCTGGTTGCACAGCTGTAGTAGGGATATCTTCAGCAGGCTGCATCCACTACCCATGGCACTCAGTAGAGGGCAGTGACGACACATACAAATTGTGGAAAGACAAGAGACATCCAAACATTTTATGGACACCTTTGTAAAAAGCTTTAATACGGACACTGTACACTCCACCAAGTATTCTTTATGATCCTGGGCCAGATCGTCTGCTGGCGTAAGTCAGTATAGCTCTACTCAAGCCAATGGAGCTATATTGATTTACACCAAATGACCATCCGCCTCTCTGTATTAGAAATAACATACTGTGTTTGATGCAAGTGTCTGTCATTTTACAAGGTGTAGATATCACCAATGACCTCTTCTGGATTGAATCTCAGACCTACTTCCTTGTGTATAGATTTCAGAAGGCTAAATATTATTACACCTGAGCCGATACTAACCTCCCTAGAGTGTGTATAATTGTTGCATTCTAGTGGTTGCAGCCTACAGAGGATAGAAGCCTAAAATCTACTATTCAAGCAGGAGTATTCATGGGTTACTACCAGTGATTAATCAATCATACTTAAATAGGCATCTTTTCTGTTTATTGCCTGAGCAATTTAAAAGCACAAATCTTCTTTTCAGTTAATCCTATTCAAAGGTTATTATATAAAAAGAGAATATTTCACTAATAAAAAGCTGTTAATATGCTACAATTAAAATGCTCTGTACACTTGCAAAGTTAACTTTCTACATAGACCCAAATCTGTACATGCCAAAAATAAAGTTATAAGAAAGAAAAAGAACAGTTTAAAAATGGGTTGCATAAGATATCCTCCCAACTCCCACAGTCCTTTTAATTTTCTAGGCCAATGAAGGCGTTAACACACATGTCGGTGTACATCTATGTGCTTTCTATTCTGTTCCAGATGTAGCAAAGTTGCCTTCCACATCTGGTGCCCTTCTCATGCCCTCCAACAAAGTGGAATTCTGCTTTTGCATCAGAAGCAATAGCAAAAAAGTGTAGTGTCCTTCTGCATAGAGGTAGTGTTTAATGTTCATGTGTGTGGCTATGATCCCTTGCTAAGATCACTAGAAACTCCCCCTGCCTCCCGAAATCTGGTTATACACAGGATCAGCTCTTCAGTTGGTATAAGTGCACCAGTTTTACGTACAGTGTCTATTTTTTAAAAAAAAGATCTAGATAGATAAACAGAGTTGTATAGAGAAATAAAGCATAACTGTATAGACGCCTACTAGGTGTAAGAGTTCTTGAGACAAGTATAGACTTATGCTCAAGTGTCAAATACAGGAAATAAAACTTCTTAGTTTCTCTTATATTAAAGGACTGAAATATGGTCAATCAGGTAGCAGGAATTTATAATAAATTATATCATGTTATGTATTATAAATTATAAATTAAATTAGATTAAATATTTTGAGTGAAATCCCAACGCAACTGAAGTCAATGGAAGTTTCACCTCTGTCTTAAAATGTAGCTAGGACGTTATCTTTTTTGTAGTGTTCTCCAAAAGGCAGTCGGGGCATAAAACATTACTTATGTCACCTTTTTTCCTTTCTCTGTTTTCTAAATATATATTCATCATTTGGAATCAGTATTTCCTAATGTGGACAAGAAATAAAACAATATCTAAAAGAAGATCCTGCTGTTTGAAATAAATCAAAATACTGGTCCCAATGAATATTTATTTTTTGAAAAGTTCAGACAAATAAACCAAAAACAATGGGTTGTCAAGAACTCAATAATAGTGCTAAATGCTTTTCTGAAAATAAAGAGCATTAGTTCTCAAGAAAAGCCAATCTGATTTTCTATATTATAATTGTCACTTTGCCATGATAAATACAAAGGCACCACACCTTAATTTATTAGTATCTTTAATCCTTTAAAGCTTTCATGGGAAGTACAGTATAAATAACTTTTTTTTTTTAAAACTTAAAGGGTCACCATTAACTTTAAGTGTAGACCATTTTTTTTTTAAAAAGTGAGTTAAAAGTACTTGTAGGTACTAAATTTTCCCATGAGCCCTCCAGCCAGTTTTTTTTCAGCCTTACAGTCACATTTCCTTTTTCATTGAGTCATATGTAAATCCTCAAAATAGAGCTCAAGTAGGACTGAAGCGGTGCATTTTGCCTTAAGGTTTCATCCTGTAGTCGCCATTCATGCCAATAATCTCAGGATCAGGCTCTTATTTTGTGCTGACTACAAGATAAAATGCTACTTCCTCTATTTTACTTTGCTTTCTGGGATGTGGTCATGCCCTGAAAACATAAAGGAAAAGGATAGGCTCAATGAAGAGTGCCTGCATCTCTAAATAGCGTATGCTATTAGATGGAAACAAAATGAAGTGTTGCACTTTCCCAAAAAGAGTACAGAGTTAAGGTGCTGAAGCACTAAAAGCCATTAAGCACCAAATTCTGTCTTCAGATACATAAGCACCTGAATTTAACGTTAGATAAGAATTTGGCTGCAATAAAAATAAAAACAGGACCCACAGGGTCAAATTTTCAAAGGCTCTGGCAATGAGTGGTGTCATGCAAAGTACATATGCACCACTATGCCCACAAAACCCTACATTTTTGCATGCGAACAGATATCTGCATGCACAAATCAGCTCAGTATAATAATATTTTACTTCTGTAGCTGCTGCCGGAAGCACTTAAAGTCTGTGAAGTTCTTTAACACTCACATGCTTAAAATACCACTCAAAAAGGTGGATTTGGATATCCTCTCTGAGAACAGCACTAGCTAAACAGAGCTACTGTTGACCTTACTAGGTAAGTCATGACACGGTTTTAGAATTTGGTTCTAACACAATATCACTGTCAATATTAGGCAGGAAAACTGTTCTAGAACCCTATTAATGACAACTGTGATTAAACATGGCTGTTATCATGGTTCCAACTGCAATGTGAGTAATAGTGGTGGGCTTCTGAATATACACGGTGTGTCCCATATTTTTCTAATGGGAAACTGCAAACAATGTAACCAAAAGTGAAATGAAAGGTGAAGGATGGCAATGTCACTTAACTTTTGTTTCAACTTTATTGGAATATTATATTACTGCTCAAGAGACACACACAATATTTAAAGTAGCATCTGGCAGAATATTTTAATCATCAATTTAAAAATTACAACTATCATAAGCAATATAAAACTCATTCAATCAACAGGAAACTTATTTTCAGTGGCAGAAAGACAAATTCAGCAACCAAGAATAATGAGTGCTCATCTCTCAAAGTTGGAATATTGTAACTAAAAGTCCAAATTTCCTCAGCTGAAATTGTTTCCGTGATATATGTAACATTTCATTTGATAAAGCAGAATGCATTCTGAGTGTTGTGAAGCGACAACTAAAGTAAGCAGATTCATCTGAAAAAATTTGCTCATTAAATAGTTCCTGCAGGGTTTGACACTCTGTGGGCTGAGACCTAGTGGATATCAACCTACTTACTGGCTATTATGTGCCAGAATGTGGTATGCCTAATTTGCCGACACAGAAGATATTGCCAATGCAGTTCAAGCCAATCCATTAGCACTGGGAGACACCAAACACATTTCAGCCTATGTGACTGTAGTTTTGTCAATATTAGTAGTTTGCTAGTTGTCTTCCTGCATCGTAAAAGCCAATCATTTAGCCACATACTTATAAAAGCTCACCTTGAAAATTTGCTGGGACCTTCCCCATCTTCATCATCAAACTCCATTCTGAAAAAGCAAAATTTTTGAATAAGTAATCATTATTTAAGAAGCCAAGAGTTAAATTAACATTCTGTCAACAAAAATCTGCATTGCTGTTATTTTCTTCTTAATTTGAAGTGAAATGTAGTTCTTTTGAAGTGTGCTGGATTAGCAGCCCTCAGGCCTGATCCAAAGCCCACTGAAATCAATAGGAGTCTTTCCATGTATTTCAGTGGGCTTCTGTGGGTCAGGCCGATACATAATGAAGTTCTCTGTTATCCACATAATACAGAAGAGGGCGACAGTCATACAGACTTCCTCGCACTGTCCCGCTCACATGCTTTCGCCCAGGTCTGGAGAGTTCAGATGTAACAGTGAGAGGGAGCAGTAGGTCAATGTCTATATCTAATAGTTTCTTGGCCTATGCTAAAACTGGCTGCCAATTAGTCCCAACTGATTGTAACTGTGGTGGTTTTTGGACTTGTCCGTTAGAAACCAAGATCACCAACTCATTTCACGCAGGTCATCAGGGAGCCCTTAGATGCTGATGACTTTCAATCACTACAGACACAGATTAAATGAATTAGTGACTTTTAGCCACTACAAAGTCATGTAATAACAACACTATTACTTAAAACAGAAAGTATTTTTACATCTTTATGTTTCTATACTTTATAAAGGTTGGCAAGCATTGCTATACCAGCTTTACCGATGGGGAACATAGGATTAAAAAAAAAATAAAACTTTTGTTAGGCAACACAAATACTTCTAAGTTTTCTAAAATTTCCGACTGCAATAAGAATTAAGGAAATTCTGGATTCCATATGTCCTCAAGATTTTTATGATAATAAATGCGATAAGTTATAGCTATGGCAAAAGGAAACTGCAAAGACTATTTAGGTCTTCATATTAAAAAATGTTTCACTGAATTAAAAAAATATATTTTTTAAATTAAAAGTTATATTAAAGAATAGAGAGTACAACACTGAGTTCTGGGCATAGAATAACTTCTTTGAAACTAAAAAACAAAATACAAATGATCAACTACACAATATAAATGACCAGATGCCCTCTAAAAGATTTCTTTGGATGGCAGTAATCTATGTACAAATAGAACAAAAACAAAAAATAATCACAAGAACTGAAAATCTCATTAGAAAAGACACATTAATACTTCCTGATGGCAAGAGTGATTGTTCATTTCTAAAGGAAGTGGTCAGGAAACCACTTTCCAAAAAGGTCTCATAGAAAAAAAAGTGTGGTTTTTGTATTTAGGTTGGTTGAAGTCTGATTTCATCATCGATGTTTCCACTGAAAATTATGTTGCGCTCTTCTGATCATTACCAAGTTCTGTTTCAGAATCACTTCTATATAATGAATGGCCTTTCAGTTGTATTTTTGTGGAGCAACAGTGACCTCCAGTGGCCAGCGAGGCTAGTTGTACAGAGATATTGTTTACAGCTAATTCATGGCCAATCTGGTATTCCATAACAATGCTGCCTTCAGTACGGGGCTCTCCAAATATTCTGAATTTGCTCAGACCAGCTGCATGGGAGATATTTCTAACAACGTACATGTTACCTTGTTGAAATTCTCCTGTGATCCTTGTCCCTGCAAATTGATTTGGACCCTTTCACCTATATTGGTGCCACTGAAGTCAAAACTGCTCTTTACGGGCACAGGGGTCACTCTATGAAGATTCAACTGCAGGACCCTTGTCTATAAAGCAAATCCTTCCCTAACCTCACTGGCAAATGAAGCGCAATGAGAGAATCAAAAGTTTACTGCGGGTGCTACACATCCCTTGACCTGGAGGAAACCAGCTGGGGAGACATGGGTCAGAGCTGGAGGATGCTTCACTGTGTAGCACTTCCAATCCTTTCCCTTGTGGAGAGGTATTAAAGGGGCTCTTACCTTGGTGGAGTTTTTCCAGAACCCAGCCAAAACACACTCGGGGAGGGAGGGAGTGTTGAGAGCTGGATCTTCCCATGAGCATAACATCCCAGCTTTATTATGTTTGGTCCAGTTTATTATTATTGGAATATGCAAAGCTTGATAACAGTGTATTTAGGGCCTGGTCTTTCAGCCCTTACTCATGGGACTCATCCCAATGGAATAAGTGAAACTAGTCATGCAAGTATTTATCAGCTAGATAGAGCTGAGTTTCTTAAACTGAAAACTCTTTGGAGTTAAGACTGCCAGTCAGTCATATGTATAGACAGCACCTACCACACTGTGTGGGTGATTGGAATGCAAACAGAAAATAAATCTAGGCATTTATACCGTGCTTATCACTGTAGTATCTAAGTGCCTAGAGCTGTGGTATCAGGCTTTAACATACTAGTTTTTAATATATACATATCGCTTTGTTAGGCTACAATATAATTGCGTTTTTATTCCAAATGTAAAACAATGCTTTTTTTTTTAAATAAGCAATTAAACTAACTTCATAGAACACTTGTAAAAATGCTGCACAAAATTAACATCAACTCTGGTCTTTGTTTTTAAAATGAAAAATGTAGAAGTGGAAATCAGAGATATGTTAATTATATGACATGGAAAAAGTCAGATCATCTTGAAAAAACACTGGGTTTAAAAGTAAGAGATGCTAACTGGTTGCCTTCCACTAATATGTATTGTTTAGAATGAGGCAGAACCCAGAAGGATAATGAATCAGTTTTAACCTTTAGCATAACACAGCACACCATGTAAAAAATATTCCAACAAACTCACCTTACCCCAACAGATAAGATCCTCTATTCAGAAAGAGTAAATTGCATATCAGCAATACAGCAGAAGTAACTTCCCAGAAGACAAATGACATCATTTCAGAAACAATACCTTTTGTCTTCATTTAAAACACCCATTTAAAAAAGAGACTAAAAATATGCTATCCTGGGCTCTCATACTGAAGAGACAAGAATAAATCTTGTTTTCTTCTTTAACATAGTATTCAGCTGTTGTGAAAAGGCCAGATAATAATAATTATATTTATAAAGTGCCCCATGCAAAAGCTTTCTTGGGTGCCATAAATAATACAAGAATTATAAAACATAGTAACATTTTAAGTTAAAAACACGTTCAAGCAAGAAACACAAAAGGCAGGTTGAGTGGGGAAGATGGGAGAAAATGGATTTTAGGTAATGTTTAAAAATTGGGAGAGATGGTTTGAGGTAGCTATCCTTGAGGGTGCAGGCAGAAAACAAGTTTCACACCCTAGGGCCCATCATAGCAAAGGCAAAATCACCTGCTGACCTAAGGCCAAAAATCAATGGAGCCCTAAAAGAAATAGATACCCAGCCAAAAATAAAACAACCCAGAAGAAAAAGAGGCCTGAAATATAGCCAGTGCCTACACCGAGAAGGGCTTTAAAAATCAGCATAAGCAAATGAAATAAATTGAAATAAGTCTACATACGCTAACTGCCCTCATCAATGGAATATCTTATGCATTTCTACCTTTTTTTCTTCCCCACAAAACATTTGGCATAATCCAGAGAGAGGAAAAACATATTTCCTAGCTGTCAATGGAATGGAATCCTTACCTTGCAGAAACACCTTCTGGACAGACAATGAGCTTAAACTGGCATATATTCAAGCCAGTACAACAATTATTTTGCCAGAGTGCCTCAGCAATTATAAGCAAAAAACTATTTTCAAAGAGACACCAAAGTTTGGAAAGAAGGCCATGTCGCTGGCTGCATTCCTTTGCGTTTGATCTGAAGCATTCCTTTCTAAAGTGCCCAAGGAGTTAGGTGTACAAAAATACATCAGCAGGGGAGTAAGGAAAGGACTAAATGCTTGTTACAGCTTTGTTCAAAGAGAAAGTACAATGCATTAGACACAGCAGGCAGACCTACCAGGCATTCTTTCCCTGGAGGTCTGAATACATAGACTGAATAAAATGCTTTCTCTCTACCACCTTAGGGAGGGCCTTCTAATGTAGAACTAAGATGCACTGATACAAAATTGCCTTCTGTACAGCAGCAAACCTACAATATCTAATTCAGAGAATTTTTATATTAAATACATTTTTAAATAACTCACTTTTACCTTTTCCCCCCATCCCATTCTCCTGCATATAAAAGATGATACTTACAATGGTATATTTAAAACTCAGGACCACGACCTTTTGATTTACCTTTCAAGTCAATATTTTGTAGAACCAGCAGACTTCACATTTAGCATCATCAATCCTTGGCAGTCACTACTTAGTAATTAGCATTAGTAGCTGACCTGGCTGCTGTTCAGCGGTGAGATCATTTGTCTGGTCACGTAAGAGCCCAAGACAGTTAAAGTTAGACTCTTCGTAAAGTAGCCATTAAAAAGATGTTAAAGCTTTCTCTTTTTTTCATAGATTCCAAGGTCAGAAGTGACCATTGTGATTATCTACTCTGACCTCCTGTATTCGCAGGCCATATGGAACGTCCCCAAAATAAGTTCTAAGAGCAGATCCTTTAGAAAAATATGCAATCTTGATTTTAAATGTGTTTGTTTTTTAGCATAAGCTTGAAAAAGCTTTTGTGTTCAACAGTTTTAACACTAAATGTAGCTTTTTCAAAAGGGATAGTTCATGATTTAATAAGATCAACTGCATACAGTTAGCTCAGCATGTGGAAGCCCACTTCACAGGTAAGGCAGATCAAAGGAACATATCACACCAGTGCTCCACATCCCTCATCTGGCTGCCAATTTAATTCCAGGTCTAAGACACGGTCCAGGTCCTCCTGTTTTTATTCACATATGGAGTGGGACCAGCTGTGCTAGCTACTGTCTCTTGTATGCCCTTAGAAGACCATTAAAATTGACAAAACACTTTGGCTGACAATCACAAGAGGAGAACTCACAGGAATTGGGTCAGGGTTCTCTCATTGGATGCCCCTCAGTTGAAGGATCTTTACTCCTGATGAGCTATGTCATGGCCATATTTAGGGGGCAAACATAGGACAGACCCATCTACGTGTGTATGCCTTCCCCTAATAGAATAATGAAATCTCCAGGAAAATGATCTCCTGATTGCCCTCTGGATTTCATCTGCCTGGGGAAGTAGAAAAAAGCGCTTTTCCCCTGTGAAACCCTGAGGTACTTCTAGTCCATGTTGAGGGCACTCAGATATTACAATGAGAGGGGCCGCAGAACTACATGTGATTAAAAAAAAACAAAAAAAAAACAAACACAAAATATTATCCTGCTTAGGGACACAGTAGGAATGAGCAAAAATGGTTTGGATAAAATAAGAATTTCCTCTTCCCCAGCAAAACCTCCAGCCATGTTAAGAAAGGAACTTGAACCAAACCTCTCTCAGATACTGAGACATTTTAACTTCTGATTTCCAATCAGGCCCAGGATATAACAAGCCAAAATAGCTTAAGAAAGGCTGTAGTTATGGTTTCTGCACCTATGGCAGAAAATGGAAATACTGTATTGGAAATTTAGGTAGAAAATATGTAGTTGTGGGATTCCAAGCCCAATTTTCAGATCGAGTAGGTTTGGATAAATTTACATATGCAACTAGAATCACATCTTGCTCCACTTATTTGCATGGGATATCTCATTGAGACCAATGGGATTACTCATCTGAGCAAGTATAATGTGCTTAATGGCTTCAGGACCACATCCCTGATGGATGCTTAGCCAATCCATAACACCATAACCTTTTGAGGCTTGCCCATCACTAAACAAAATACACACACATCAGCAAGTTCAATCTTACAACAACAACATACATGGTGAAAAGAAAACCAAAACATACTAGCCAGTGTTGTGACGCATATTAGTACATGTATGCATTTTCTTTATGAATGCACATAGTTTTCAGTTTCACCACTGATAAAATGAAATAACTTACCCAGAACGCCTCTTTCCTCCTCTAGCAGGCATGGATCCTGCCATTCTCACCTGTCCTGTTGCCATAGGTGCAACCGGCAATGTCACTGATCCAGGAATATCTGAAGCCATTTCTGTAATACAGAATGAAAATCATGTTATCCACTATGAAAGGAGCAGCCAGTGATAATGACATAAGAAGGCTCTTTTAAAAACAATCAGTGTGGAATGATCTTTCCTTTTATTTCTAAAGGAAGACAAATCTATTCTTTGTGGTTTAAAGGACTGTACAAATGATGGCAAATTCATTACACTCTTGCAATAGCTTCAGTTTTGTCAATAGACATCCTGAGTGCAATTGGAGAGAGACACAATGATGTCATACACAGGAAGCTGTGTATTTCACTTACCTATTAACTCACTGTACTTTTGTTCCCTACTGTACAGGAGCTGCCAATGAAGCCTAGCAGTCTTTCATAACACCTAAGCTTCCTCACAGGGAATTTTTTGTCAATGCAAAACTACTGAAATGAAATACGTGATGGGGCATAATTTATCCAGATTAGGCAAAATTTTAAAATATATTCAAATTCAATATTTAAAAGTATGACAAACCCTATAGGCTGGTAATTGTGGGAGGCAATGAGGTCTAGTGGTTAGAGCAGGAGATTTGGGCCTCAGGAGATGTTATTTACGTCCTGGTAGCATTTAGAGACCCTGATCAGAATTAATGTCCCAAAATGCAAGGCGCTATAAAAAATACAGGAAGGCAGACACTTCCTGGAAGAGTTTACACTCTAGGATCTTATTCATATCTCTATCAGTGCCTTGGTGTGCGACATTGGGCTAATTCGATCTCCATGCCATGCTTTTCCAATCTGTAAAATGGGGATATCTACACTCACCTTAGTAAAGTATGTTGAGATCACAGAATTTAAAGGCATTTTTATTATCCAAAAGACAGCAATTGGAAGGGAAACATTTTATTATACTTCAGAATGAAATACACTATAGCAGTGTTTCCCAAACTTGGGACGCTGCTTGTGTAGGGAAAGCCCCTGGCGGGCCGGGCCGGTTTGTTTACCTGCCGCGTCCGCAGGTCCGGCCGAGCGCAGCTCCCACTCGCCACGGTTCGCTGCTCCAGGCCAATGGGAGCTGCTGGAAGTGGCAGCCAGTACGTCCCTTAGCCCACGCTGCTTCCAGCAGCTCCCATTGGCCTGGAGCAGCGAACCGCAGCCAGTGGGAGCAGCACTCGGCCGGACCTGCGGACGCGGCAGGTAAACAAACCGGCCCGGCCC